TGGCTGGGCGTGTCTCTGGGTCCCTGTCACCAGACCCGTTGGGCGAACTACTGAAAAAATCTGAAACCCCTCCAGGCGCGTTGGGCGAACCATTGAAAAAAAAACGAAACCCCTCCAGACCCGTTGGACAGACCAGTACCTAACCACGCCCCCTCGGCAAGCCTCCAAAACAGGGGGCCATCCATGCTACCTGCAAAAAAACGGTTGGGCCGACCAGTATCGAGCCCCAGCGGGTTGGGCGGACCAGTATCAAGCCCAACCCGTTGGGTGTCAAAAAAAACCCAACAAAAACCCACCGCTGTCCCTCTTCGCCTTTTTTTGGCGTTTAGTGACAGCGCCGAAAAAACTGGCAAAAATCTTCACATTTTGTCGACGCCGGCGCCGGCCCATCCCGCCGAACATTGCCCCGGCCCAGGGAGATTCGTATGACCGTATGACCGTATGATCCGTATGATCCGTATGATCCGTATGATTCGTATGACTCGGCAAGCCTGGCATTGAAGCCTCAGACCGAGTCATACGAATCATACGGATCATACGGATCATGCGGTCATACGGTCATACAGCGACGGCTCGGCACTTCGGGAGTGCCAACCTGGTAACCTGCCTGGCATCGAAGCCTCTGCCTGGTATCGAAGCAGCCCGCCGAGCCGCGCAGTCCGCTGCTGGCCGTGGCCTGCCTAAAAGAGGTCCAAGCGATAGAGCCCAAAAACCGGAGCAAAAAAACCCGTTGGGAGAGCCAGTATCAAAACGGAGTTGGGGGAACCAGTATCAAAAACGGGGTTGGGCGAACCAGTATCCCTTATAGGAACCTATAGGAACCTATAGGAATCTTATAGGAAACTCATAGGAAACCCATAGGAAACTCATAGGAAGTCCATAGGAAGCCCTCTTCTTCTTTTCCTATGGCCTTCCTATGGACTTCCTATGAGTTTCCTATAAGATTCCTATAAGTTCAAAAAAACTCCAAGCTCCGACCCCCTTCGTCTGACTAACCCGTTGGGCAGACCAGTACTAAGCCAAAAAAAAACGGGCCTGCTGGGCGAGCCAGTACTTGAAAAAAAAACCTGAACCCATAATCAAGCAGAAAAACTAGCAAAAAGTCAACCGGCTGAAGGGTGCAAATCAGCTTGTGTTTTTTTGTTTGTGATTTTTTGTTTGAGTGTTTGTGTGTTTGTGTGTTTGTGTGCCTGTGAATTTTTGTTTGTAAGTTTTTGTTTGTGTGTTTGTGTGTTTGTGTGTTTGTGTGTGTGTGTGTGCTTGTGTGTTTGTGTGTTTGTGTGTTTGTCTGTTTCTGTGTTTCTGTGTTTGTGTGTTTGTGTGTTTGTGTGTTTGTGTGTTTGTGCGTTTGTTTATTTGTTTATTTGTTTGTTTGTTTGTTTGTTTATTTATTTGTTTGTTTGTTTGTTTGTTTGTTGTTTGTTTGTTTGTTTGTTTGTTTGTTTGTTTGTTTGTTTGTTTGTTTGTTTGTTTGTTTGTTGTTGTTTTTGTTTGTTTGTTTGTTTGTTTGTTTGCTTGTTTGTTTGTTTGTTTGTTTGTTTGTTTGTTTGTTTGTTTGTTTGTTTGTTTGTTTGTTTGTTTGTTTGTTTGTTTGTTTGTTTGTTTGTTTTTTGTTTGTTTTTTGTTTGTTTGTTTGTTTGTTTGTTTGTTTGTTTGTTTGTTTGTTTGTTTGTTTGTTTGTTTGTTTGTTTGTTTGTTTGTTTGTTTGTTTGTTTGTTTGTTTGTTTGTTGTTGTTTGTTTGTTTGTTTGTTTTTGTTTGTTTGTTTGTTTTTGTTTGTTTGTTTGTTTGTTTGATTTTGTTTGTTTGTTTTTCTTGATTTTGTTTGTTTGATATTGATTGTTTGTTTGTTTGTGTGTTTGTTTGTTTGTTTGTTTGTTTGTTTGATTTTGTTTGTTTGATTTTGTTTGTTTGTTTGTGTGTTTGTTTGTTTGTTTGTTTGTTGGTTTGCTTTTTATGTTTGTTTGTTTGTTTGTTTGTTTGTGTGTTTGTTTGTTTGTTTGCTTGTTTGTTGGTTTGTTGGTTTGTTGGTTTGTTTGTTTGTTTGTTTGTTTGTTTGTGTGTTTGTTTGTTTGTTTTTGTTTGTGTGTTTGTGTGTTTGTGTGTGTGTTTGTTTGTTTGTTTGTTTGTTTGTTTGTTTGTTTGATTTTGTTTGTTTGTTTGTTTGTTTGTTTGTTTGTTTGTTTGTTTGTTTGTTTGTTTGTTTGTTTGTTTGTTTGTTTGGTTGGTTGTTTGTTTGTTTGTTTGTTTGTTTTGTTTTGTTTTGTTGTTTTTGTTTTTGTTTTTTTGTTTGCTTGTTTGGTTGTTTGTTTGTTTCTTTGTTTGTTTGTGCATGTGCGCGTGGGCGTGTGCATAGGCGGGTTTGTGGGCGTCTGTGTGGGCGTGTTTGCGGCGTGTTTGTGGGGCGTGTTTGTGGGCGTGTGTGTGGGCGTGTTTGCGGCGTGTTTGTGGGCGTGTGCGTAGAAGCGTGCATCCTTCTGATTGTCGTGCGCTGTTTGCTTTGTTTCTCTTGGCCACGCCTCCTCTCACACACAAAAACGAGGATATGAACGTCTGGTAGAATGTCATCAAAGCATCAAATGACCAAAGGGCGCAACAACAACAAAAAAAACGAGGCGCCTAGGCAAGCATTGCGCTTACCACGATGCTTGTATATGCATTGATGTGCGCGCTCATACATCTATCAATCTAACCATACATTCAAGCATGCATTCTTTGTTTTGACAGCGCCTCCTCCCGCATGACGGTATTCTCGAAGCTCATCCGTGCCATCTGCAAGCCCTTGGCCGGACCCTGAAGCTGCTGGCACGCGTAGACCTCGATGCCAAGGACTTTCCTCTTGCTCTAAACAGCTTGGGGTCGGCCAACTCAAAAAACATGGTGTCCTAGAACGGATGACCGCTTTCGGATAGGAATTTGTCATGTCCTGAAATGAACAGCCCCTTAGGACCAGAATGGATGACCGCTTTGGGACTGGAATTTGTAGCATCCTAGAGTGGATGGCTTTGGGACAGGAGTTCGTGATGTCCTAGAAAGGATGATCCCTTTCGGACGGGAAGTGGCAACGTCCTAGAATGGATCTGTTTCGGATAGGAATTCATAATGTTTGGAATGGATGACTGCTTTGGGGCGGGAATGCTCCAGAAATGGACAACCACTGTGGGACGGGGAATTCGTAATGTCCGACCCCTTTGACATGGGAATCCACAATGTCCCACAATGGATGACCCTTTTGGGACAATGTTGCTGAATGGATGATGACGACCCCTTTGGGACGAGAATTTCTGATGTTTCAGAATGGGTGACCCCCCTTTCGCACGTGAATTCGTCACGTGCGGAATGCTTTCTGGCCAGTCATAGAGGTGCCCCGTTAAAGGCAGCCACTTGCAAGTAGTTTCAGTCCGGGCACAAACTCTTCTACCGAGATCTCACCATCGCCGTTGCTGTCGATGACCCTGAGATCACAAGTCCCATGGATCACACTGCGGACCTTCCTTTTCTTCAGTTGAGCTTGGCTTGCAATCAAGCGGGAGCTCGGGAAAGCAAAGCGAAGCGCTCATGTTCTTTATTCACGTTTATCTTGCTTTTGCTTTTGTTTGGGGGGCAACTCATATTCAATCAAAACCTCGGTCGACTTTCGAGTGGCATGAAGAGCGTCCACACGTCCTCCGTACTGATGTCCATGGACTGCAGGAAGCTCCGCATCTTCTCGACTTGTAGTGCGTCCTACGGCGCCAACGACTTTTCAGAACTCGTATGGCAGCTTGAGGACTGCTTCCTGCTTAGAAGCCTTTCACGGATTGCCTAGCAAGCTACTTCGTGGATTGCCTAGCACGCAGCTACTGGCGTATCCGAAACTTCAGCCGTCGCAGTTCAAGCAAAAGTCCGCTCATCACACTCGAGGCGCCTTCAATTCACTGAAGGTAATCTTCTCTGAGGAGTCCCCGTCGATCTCCGCAAAGATTTCACGCAACGCCCTGACTCGTGCTTGTGCATCTGCTTCATGACTGCAATGTCCTGCGCTGACACGTACCCAGCGCCAAACAACCCAGAGAGCGGCCAAAGCGTGTCCTTGTCAGCCTTTGCACTGTCGATCGCGTTGTTGCCTGGACAAAATTATGCGCCCACTCAAAACTCAGGGCGTGGGGTGGATGACGCACATTCATCATGATGGCATAATCAGTGTTTCTGAGCAGAACGCAAAATACGCCGGTCACTACGTTCAAAATTGCAAAGATGGTCAGCACAATATACCTCGGCGGTTGTGCTGCATGTCACATTGACATGTCCTGCAATCCTCCGACGATACTGGAACCCAGTAGCAACGCAATGCTTGAAACATCAAAGCTATTCAGTATGCTTCAAGGGGCAGCAACATGCTTCCCACCGCAATTGGCCCGATCTGGCGCAAAGGCGACAGCGCATCTATCCAGCTGAGGCCGCCCGAGATGGACAAGAAGAGGGTCAGCATACCTGTGGACACAAGAAATCCGGAAAAACCGCCTCCAGGTGTGACCTACATAAAGGCAATAGGGTGCGAGCCGCCACTTCTAGTTTCCAAAGACCGAATGAAAAAGCTTGAGGCGCCATAGGCTTGTTCTCAATAGATGGTGCAGGAAATTGTCCATCAGAAATGAGTACAGGAGACAGCAACTGTTGGATGAGTTGCCAAGCAACCTGGTGGTGGAAGTGCGTCTTTCAAACTAAAGCTTCTACCCCAACTGCGCAGCAAGTCCAAATGAAACATGAACAAAGTCTTCAACTGAACCGGAACATTTAATCCAGCAAATGGCAAGTCCTGACATGAACCAAACCAACCAGCACCCAAATACAAGCCAGATTTGGCGCTTGAACATGATCCGCGGGGCTTGCAACTGGCGTGTCAGTGTTTGCACAAACCGTCCCCGAACTTGCCATCCCTCGGAACGCTTCATCCCAAAGCTACCCCGAGTGGAGCGGCAATACTGGTCATGTAACACAATGACTTTCTTAAGCACTGAAAGATTCAGGGCAAAGAAGCTTGTACAACTCGAAGCCACAGAAGAATGTCAGAGGCGCTCTTCGGGCGTCAACGCAACAAGCGCCCTCCTAGCCGGGCGACTTTCTGGGACGCTGGACCAATAGGCAACGTCGTGGTAGTTGCAGGAGGCCAATGTGTCTACTTGCAGGTCGTACTTGCAGTAGTCCGACACGAGCTGTGTCAGAATCACCTCAACACATTCAGAACCCTCACTCGCGATCTTTGGCAGCGTGTTTGCTTCCCTTGCGGAACGAGGTTTCTCTCTGTGAGCCTAGTTCTCGTCAAGTCACTGCGAAGGTGTAGAAGACCAGCAGCAGCAAGACCAAAGTCCAGAAGAGCGATCCCATGGTGCTCACGATGGAGATCATGATGGTGCGCAAGGAGCTGACGTACCTCGCTGTGAGGCAAAACCGGCGACTCCCAGACTCGTTACGTGAGGGGCCGGGCCTCAGGAGCCGGATGACGCGCACACTCCGCAGAGTCCGGACCAAGCGCGCTAAACGCATGGCACGGAGGTGGCTGGTGTTCATGTCCGCGCCGGCTGAAGCCGCCTTGCCACAAAACCAAAACATCCACAGTGATGGTTGGTTTGGGGCGCCCATCAAACCTTAGGGCCTTAACATGTATCCGCTTCTTGTTTTGGAATGCGCTTAGATGATGCGGCTTTCATACAGAACACAGGTGTCCCACAGACATCGGGCAAGCAGGTTTGCCCTCTCAATCATACGATACGCTTCTTGAATACATTTACGGTTACGAGCTTCCTAAGCATCCCACTTAGCACTGGCATTGCGTGGTCACCCCACAGAAACACGCTCTCAATTTTGGCACTGGGGCCGACACTTTAGCCACCAGCTCGATACCAGTCTCCATAAGCGAGATGAACACGATGATCATGTCAAACATGTTCCAAACTCTGTCGCGGCTGCAGAAAAACTCCCGGCATCCTCAGCACAGGAACTTGGGGCATGGCGTCTCTCCAAATCAGCGCGAGGCTCCAAATGCCATGAACTTCAACAGCAGCTCCACAGTGAACACAGCCACGATGAAATAGTTTGCCACCTGGGAACCATGAGCGCTGACGGAGTGTGGAGACATATCATAGAATCATGTCTCAATGAGGTGATTCTACAGACAACAAACAAATCAACGGCAAAAAAGAACACGTCGTGAATTCGAGCACATGCCGAACAACTGGCTGGGTGACAAGACGTCGAGCCAGTCTGATAGCGGTACCAAACGACGTACGTTGATGCCTCTAGCAACGAGTGCAGTCATTTCTTTCGGTTCCTCTCTCTCCCCTTAGCATACCGCCAAGAATGCGAAAGGGCACCAACCTCGAGAGATCCTTTTCTGCCTTTCGACCTCCTTTCCGAATTTTAGAAAGCTACGGGTTTCAAAACCCAGGTCTCCCTTTCGCCATTCGATGCGCCTGGAACCAGGCAGGCACCTGCCCCAAAGGCAATGCCGCAGCGGTGTCTACCTCTATGCCCAGGATCAGCAGATTCCCCAAGATCACCATCCTCAAATAAAACCGAACCCCGAAACACTACTTGCTCTTCGGCGAAAGGAAAAGAATGAAAAGAAATGGGCGCGGCTCACGATATGATATGTTCTGTTTCGTTTGAATCATTGAAGGCAATTGCTCTCGATATGGTTTGTGGGAGGCGCTGGATGCCAATGGCGAAGTAGGACGAATTCACGATGAGGCCCGAGGCGACCGTCAACTGGAGGTATGCGCTGGGAGTCGGTGCCTTGTCGCAAGCACTGGAGACTGGTGAAGGGTCAGGGATTTGAAGGGGACCAGGCTTAAGGCTTTGGGGGCAGCGTGGCTGCAATGTCGCACACTGCCCCTCCAAACCAGACTGACTCCAATGCGCGCAAGCTGCTGCCTGGTCAGTGAACTCACCAGAAAAGACCGGTGGGAGAGCCTTGCGTTGAGCTTCGTGGGCCTGCAACAAGCAACGCAGATTCGCGCGAGACTTTCGAGCCCGGAATGTTCCTAGAAGAAGGCTGTTTCAGAGACAACGCCCACCCTTCGCATAGTTTCATGTGCCACCATTCAAGTGGAGAGCATGATTCTGCGCATTGCAAACCAGCATGATTTGGGGCAGTCTGCGCTTGCCGCGGACCTTGCTCATCCAACAAACCCTTATCAACTCATTTGCTATTCGCCAACTCTGTCCAGCGCGGTTGGAGGCAGCCCCCTACCCCCATAGGGGGAGAGCCCAAATGGGTGTGAAACGTGAGATTGCGTGAAGGTCAAGTGTTTGGAAAACTTCTCCGCCCCCCACCACCACCTTTGCATTGCCACGTTCACTTAGCTTCAATTGCCGAGCAAAGGTGTTCAGAGGCAGTTTTTCGTGTTGCTAAGTGTGGAAAGTGACTTTTACACTCCACACCCACACTCCAAACCCCCACATTCCACGCTCAACTCCCCACACTCCACACAAAGTACGGGAGCCTTTCTGCTACGCATTCAGGAAAAAAAATGTGAGAGGTTTCAGTGAATCCCATGTTGCGAGAGACCCTTAGCACAAACCCACGCCTGCTTCCTGCGCTCCTTCTCGTGCTGCTTGCCCCAGTCAGCGGTTTCAACCGACGATACGGGCTCGCTGGCCACAGATGTAGGGCCGCTGGGGGTCGCTTCGACGCGGCGAAGGTTCGGGAGGATGTCTCCTTGAAAATGGCAACTGATGCCAGAAACCAAACACTCTTCTGGCCTGAATGCCTCCAGTGGGCGTTCACGGGCAAGAGGCTGAACGTGTTTTGCACTTGGATCAATTGGCGCCTACTTGAGCCCTGGCCCGCCTGTGTGCGAAATGGCGCCCAAGGACATGTCCCCCGCTGCAGGGCCAACTGGCGCCGCCACTCTTGTTGTCCGTGCGGGTCCGGCCGAGTGGGCCTGCGAGCAGAAAAACGGAGGCAAGGCGTGCCAAAGATCAAAACCCTGGGTAGCGTACCTGCGAAATCAGATGTTAAAGCGTACCTGCGAAATCATCTCTCCTGTCAGATCTAGTTACACGTGTAATATACATATAACATGTATATATATATATATATACTGCAAATATGTATGTACTACATATATACTGCACACATGTGGCTGTGGGTCAAGAATAGGTACCCAAAATGGAACCCTTGTAAGAGGAAACATGGACTAAAAGCTGCGGTCCCCTGTATATATATATATATATATGTTATATATATATATATATCGAGACTTACATACCGCCAGCCAGCCAGTCACTCTCATTCCGTCAGGACTTGCGACAATGACAAGGAGAGCGGCCCTCACCTCACTGGGCTTCTTAAGTTCTTGGAGCAGCTGCAGCTGAGTCGAAAATTGCTCCTCGAGCGAGGAACAGTGTCCCTCAGTGTCTCGGGCGTTTTCAGAACCCAAAGGTATCCTGAAAAACACCAGCCCTCATTTTCAGATGTAAACGCGCACTGCGCATGTTCGAAACAGACGCTCGCGCGCAAGCACTACCGCTCCTCCAGGAACTGCCGAAGCTTGCGCAGCTCCAGCTCTAGCGGGTTCTCCTTAGCCGGCGGGCGACCTAAGAGACCTTCTTCAAGGCACCAAACTCGAAAAGTGACCAAATCGCAATCGAAATGCGCCAAGCCCAGTGTCGAATCCGCTCGGCTTCTCGAGGCAGAGCGTGGCATCGATGTTCCGCTCCATGGCTGGCACTGGGAACCCAAAGAGCTGGCGATCTGCGGGACAGGGCACGGCCAAGCTCAATGACATCGGGAAGCAACACGTGCTCCACCTTCATGGAGGGAACCTGTGATGTGAGCCTCTCCCCAAATCGCGGGTGGACTCTCCCGAACCGAATCAACTCCTCCAAGCATAGGCACAGCCTCGAGCGCGGCCTTAGCTTGCAGAGAGACTTGGAGTCGCTTCCTCTGATCATGGCTGTTTTTGGCAACAACAGTTGACGCTGTTTTCTGCTTCCGCTGAACAACAAGCGCGGAAGCGCATACGCAACCAAAGTTCAACAAGTGACAACATCAAACGTCAATGGTTTGCATTTGACAGCCCAAGGCATTGCCAGAAACTCTCGGTGGTGGTTCCGGCATCACCAGCATTGTCAGCATTGCCAGCATTGCCAGCATTACCAACATTATGATCCGCCGCTTTGCTAACATCGCCAGCACTGCCAGCATCGCCTGCATTGTCGTGCGCCAACAGCATCGCAAGCATCGCCAGCATCGCCAACATCCATTGGCAAGCACCACCAGTCTCAATACAAATTCAAGAGCATTTCGGGCAATTCAAGAGCTGAAGACCAGCGCCATCAACAGCATCACAAATACACACACGAGCATAGGGCGCGAGTCTCTTCCACGTGTCTGTCATCCGGACCTACCCAAGTCCTGTTGGCCAACTTCCAAGTTTGCAATCAGCAAACACCTGGCTTCAGACACGGGTTGCTAAATCCTGCAGCAAAGATACAGTGTTGAAACAAATGTCACGAGACAGGCTTTGGAAAGCATTGCAACGAGTCACTTGGGGAACTCATGGCTCAGTAACCCGCATGACAAAGATACAGTGTCATGGCTACTGCAAATGCAGGCCGAAAGCACGCTCAACAAGAGTCATGGGTGTCTCCCAGAATGGTGGGTCGAAAGGTCAACCGCTGCGCTTGATACGCAAAAGCAGGGCATGTGGATCCAAGAGGCGTAACGAATTACCTCAGCTGGGCAAACCAACTCTCCCCCAAGCTGTCGTCTTCTGGCAGAATGTGCGCTCCCATGGCTCGCATGAGATGTTGCAAAGGAGGAAGCTTGTTGAGCAGCCCAATTCAGAACTCATGCCAGATGCCATCTGAGGGGCCATCGTTGCATAAGGTGTCTCGGAGAGAGGCGCTTCGCCCGGCAAACTTTGGCTACGAGCCAAACTTCGGCTGGCGACAGTCTCACGTCAGCCAAACAGTCCAAAGCACGCATAGCCTTTGGACAACTTGCTGGCCCTTGAAAACGTGAACGCAAAGCTCGCCGCTGACTGTCCTTGGGTCCTGGTTTTTCATGCTCACTTTGATTTGCACACCAGACCGGTTTCTAATGACTAAGCTAGAAACCGCCCAAAGAAGTTTCTTCCATGCCAAAGGCTCCCCTTCACCTTGACCTCGGGACAGTTCCGCGCGGCACTGCGAGCGCCTGGCCAAACGGCGCTGCAGCTCCGAGCTCGCCTGCGCCTGTTGAGCCAGGATGTAAGGTCGAAAGACCAAGCTACACCTTGTGTCTTCCCAAAATTTGCTTCAGGCCTTCCTCAGGCCCTCCGAACATCCTTGCGTCATCCTAACAGCTTAGGAAGACCTCAGGACGTCGGGCGTCGGGAAGATACACCTTCAAACCCCTCGAGCTCGCATGGCCACGTCCCTGCCTCCGCCTGGGCCTCGCTGCGCCGCAGCTCGCTGCTGCTGTGCGCCTGCTGGAGACGAAGCCAATACGCCGCCCAAAAGAAATCCACTCGCCTCCTGGTGCTCGCAGTGGAGTCGATCTGGGCCGAAAGAAATCCGCACGTTGCTGGATTGGAACAGGGGCCCTTCTCTTAAAACTCAAAAGTGTTGGTTGCCCAGCCCTGGTCAGTGTATCCCATCCGTCTCAAAACATGAAGGGAGCCGCCATGCCGAGGCCCTTTGTTCAGAAGGAAAGAAAACCGAAAAGCCCAGCAGCTCGACGTCTCGACGGCTCGCCGTTCAGCCCATGTCTGCGGCCGCGGCGGAGAGCCAACTGCAGCCCCTGCAGCTCCTGGGCTCCGATCCGATTCCGCTCCGATTTTCGGATTTTCGGATTCGGAGCCAAACGAAAATTTTGGAGTTCCGTACGTCTCTTGTTTTCTTTTGAGATACCCGATTTCAAAAAAAAAAGAAGGAAAAAGGCTAACACGAGCAAGTTCCAACTCCGAAAGAAAAGCACAATCTACACCCAGAAAGCTCGACACAAAGTCCATTCTTGCTGAAACGCCAGTTTTGCAAAACATGTTCGGGCCAAGTGGCGCAGGGCACAACCAAAGCCATCACAACGTTTTCTTACACAAGCTCCTCCCGCTGCAACAAGGCTGACCTTGTATGGTGTCGGAAGCAAGAACTGCCCGGCCTCATGACGCTCTTGTAGAGTGGATGCACCTGTGCGGGCGCCAGTGTTGGTTGCCACCCAAAGAGACGCGCCATTCACCAATGCTGCTGAAGTGTAGGGACGCAAATCATTCACCCGTGGTCGAACCTTTCCTGACGCATCTCATGTCACTACGTGACATAATCTAATCAATAAGCCTGGCGATGCACAAACCCCAAATCAACAGGCCACATCGCTTTGCACAGAATACGCTGGTTCGCCAATTTCGGTGAAATCCCAAGTACATCACGCGGCCTCGTTGATGCAGGGTTCCTGCCAGGCGAAAGACGTTATGGACCTTCGCGGCAAAGCTGCCAAGGCGGCTGAATTTGCCGGAGAGGCCCATCGGCATTGTGCAAAGGCGTTCTCGCCAGGCCAAACGCAAGCGCTCGAAAGATTGCGCAAGGCCGAGGCGGTCTGAACTATTCAAGCCAACTTAGATGCTCGTTTGGGTTGGTAAGCGCAAACCATGCACAGTCCTTATTAAATAACGGAGCAATGCCGAAGGGGCTTGCACATGGACTCCAGGAAACGAGTCTCTCACACCAAGCGAGCTGAGCATCCAAGCTGGACGAGGCCTTGAATTCCCACAAACATGCTACGAACGCTACGGCCCGTTCAAACGTGAGCCAGGCTGGATTGGCCTGATCTGGACGAACTCCCCTTCGTTCCTCACAGCATGCAAACAAAACGGGAGAACCCAATGCGCGGCTGGCCCTGCGCTAAGCTGCGGCCGTACCCTGCCTGCTAGAGAAGGCATCAAAGAACTTCAGAAGGAAGTTGCGCTGGCCCGCCAGCTTGCCAGGCCCGGCCAACGAGTGCAGCGTCACACGGGTCCAACACGGGATTCCGGACTGCCGCTGGTATTCCTTGAAGCACCACCTGCAGCGGACGACAACGAGCATGGCTGTGCCAATGTGAGTGGTTCGCTCATGTGACCAACCGCCACAACTTGGGGGGGGGCCAACCGTGCGTTTGCCTCTGCGAGCGTGCATGCGCTTGCACCTGAGTGTGGGCATGAGCTCGCGTGCGCGTGCGCGTGTGCATGTGCATGTGCACGTGCATGCGCATGCGCGTGCGCATGTCCGTGTGCGTGCGCGTGTGCGTGCGCTTGCGCGTGTGAGTGTGAGTGTGAGTGTGAGTGTGAGTGTGTGTGTGTGTGTGGGTGTGGGTGTGCGGGTGTGTGGGTGTGTGGGTGTGTGGGTGTGCCGGTGTGCGGGTGTGCGGGTGTGCGGGTGTGCGCGTGCGCGTGCGCGTGCGCGTGCGCGTGCGAGAGAGAAAGAGAGAGAGAGAGAGAGAGAGAGAGAGAGAGAGAGAGAGAGAAGAGAGAGAGAGAGAGAGCGAGAGAGAGAGAGAGA